GTGTTAGTCCTCCCAATTACTTTCCTTTCCTGCACACAAACAAGGCTGGTATCTGGCAACTGTCACAGGATGCAATTCATTATTAATCAAGGCCATATAATTTGGTGATTTCCCATGTTGCAACATGTGCATTTTTTTTACAGCAGCATCCATTGATTATATTGTCTATTTCATATAAAAGTTTTATTTATTCACAGTTATCCAAAGTTTGTGTGGGAAATCACTAGGTATACTGATAAAATTGTATCATGCCTTGTATTTTTCAACAATTATTTTATCCCCAAAATATTACCTGCCCTAAATTTTATAACCTCTGAACGATAGTTTTTTGTGCTATCTTTAATCAATGTGAATGCCTTAACTACCCGGGAAGGTTGAGGGTGAACAGACCAGTGATAGGCTTGGGAACAACGGAGACCTGGGATGTGCCCTTCGGGACCCCGAGCAGAGTCTGTTCAGCTCCGTCCGTCAGCTGCACTTCAAGACCAGCCTGCTGGAGATGGTTGAGGAGCTGAGAATGCGGAGGGTGAGTTGGGCTGGCTCTGCGCTACGCGTCGCTGCACCGGGAGGTTACACTGGGTTCACGAATGGCAGACTTTTCTCAGGTCGTAATAAATGAACCAGCTGTGGTTTTTTATGCCCTATGGGCAGAGGCTAGAGTAGATTAGTGCTCTACGCAATAGGGGTGGTGGCCGTGAAGTCTTCTCATATGTTTTTTACGTGACACGCGTTTTATCTTGCGCAAGGTGCAGGTTACAGATCTGCAGCTGCAGCCCAGAGGTGGTCCAAAAAATACGTTATTAACATTGTTATCGTGGGCCAGGGCAGCTGGGCATTACGGGCCCTGGTACGGCGTGGGTTTGGGTTTTTGGGGCCGCTGTGCTCCGCTGAATTGGTGATAACTTGACAGCTCGCTTGTAGCAGCGCTTGGTATTTATCATGTGCACAGTGATGTGTTACACTTCAAATAAAGTAGAATGTGCATCTCATTCCATTCTGCATCTGTGTGGTTATCATTTTTGTAAACACTGGCTTGGCATTCACCTTTTGCGATTGTTAACGTCAAGATGGGCTATTTTGTAAAACCTTTATTCTAGACCTTTTTCATTGGCAAAATGTTGGCCTTATATCTTTGGTATTTTGTTTCTTCATATGTGCAGAATCAGTGTTTTTAGCAATATGCTTCAGTACTATGTTTCCATATTTTTTCATTATTTTATTTTAAAGAAATCAATGTATACTGATATCGTAGATTATGATAGATACAGAATTAAACTTTAGATACATGGTTACATGAATGTAATTGATCAAATAGGCAATGTTATTCCTGGACCTACTAGTTATTTTAGTAACTATCAGTCCAGTTTTTCCTTTTTTCAGCATATGCACAACTCATGTCATAAGTCATAGTCACATAAATGCAGAAGTTTTTGCTTTAGCAGGTTATCGAAAGTACTTGTTTTATTGCACATACATATGTGCTTTTAAACAACATCTACAAATAGCCAAAGCAGTAATCCCCCATTTGTCAGCTTTATACGGCGTTTTATTGAGATGCGCTTCCCAGGACAGCTTTATTGCCACCATACATTACGTTGCAACACAGGAGGTTCCATATATGAGCACACGGGATGGACATTTGCTGCTTGATGCTGCACGAATATTGCTGTTAATCCATCCATAAAGCGTGGAGGAAACACTAAATATTTTGTCACCCTTGATATTATAAAACTTTTTATTGCTCAAAGTATGGTGATGTGCCGGAGCCCTTTTTGCTTTGGCTGAATAAAAGACCCATTCACTTGATGTATGCTCAGTGCATCTCAAATTGTGCAGCACAAAGAAAATGATGACCTATATTATCACAAGGAAGCATATTTTAATTGCTTGGTGTCATAACAGGTCACTTGCATCATTCATATATCTGGAGTCACTTGATGTATACGCCATGGGTCTCTGGCTACATGGAATATTATTTGAGCTATTAATGGTTTATCTACTGTGTAATTTTTCCTCCGTATGCCATGATCTCTGTTTCTCATTTCCCTTGATGGCCTGCAAAATGACAAAGGTTTCTAAATTTAATTTTCATGGTTGCAATAATTAACGTGCATAGGTCTTGTAAGTGTAACAGATATGTATTGTATATATCATGAGTTGTGAACTTGGTACTTTTATAGGAGTGAAAATTAATGGACTTCAGGACTAATTTAATTATTTTTGTTTTCTGCTGAAGATAATACTTTTATGTGTGTGTCCCCCCAAGGAATCCGAGCGTCACTTTGAGGAGAAATTCAACCAAATGATTACAGAGAAGCAAGAATTAGAGTGGCAAAAGGTACACCAAGACGTTTGTGTCATTAACAAAAAAATCTTATAGACTCACAAGTCAGCTGGTACAATTTTCTCAGATTAATACCTGCCTATTGTAAACTAGGGGTGGGGAACCTTTCTTAACTGAGGGCCAATTAAGAATTGAAAATACCTTTGGCACGCCACACATTGGCACGCAGCTCATCTACCTCTGTCACTACAAGAGGCTTTTGCAGTGAGAGAAGTAACCAAGTATACTAACATTACAAACAATGTTGTCAGGTACAAGTGTAGCTGAGATGCTTCAAGTGATGGATAAATATTTGTTGCAGTCTATGTATAAGTAGTGGGCCTTGAGATCAGGGGATGTATTAATTTAATTTCTGGGGCAGCCATGGCCCACATGCCATACAATCCCAACCTCTGTTGTAAACTAGAGTAGAACCATGGTGCATTAGGTGCAATGTAGCATCACTGAAGCTTACATGTGACGAAATATGCCAAACACTAATTAATTGACCAAACATCCCAATGCAGAATCTGTAAAAGAGTCTTGAGACTCGGTGAGGAGCTTATGGGTTAATAATGGGCATCATCTTATGCAGTGCAACATCTTTCAATTTAAATTGCTCAACACAAGGTCTAAAATGAATCCTGAATGAATGTGATATTTTCATATGTGTGTAGTTAGCATATTAACTCATTTTGTCTATAAATTGGAGTCTTAGTGTCTTTCTATGGCGTGCAGGAATTTGCTGTGACTTGAAGGGCTTGACTTTGCAAAAGTCAAGCTGATAAATGTCTTTGCCTTATAAAGGGTCTGGACTTTGTGGTGTGAAATTATCTATTAGCATTGATGGACAATAAAAAAGCAGTTAACAGCATTAATTACTGACCATAGATAACAATAACCTTTTACTTTAATTGCTCCGTGAAATTTTTATTTATGACAATAATCCATGTTTCTGAAATGTACGATGTGAAACATTTGAGAAATTATCAATAAGGTTAATTAAGTTGCATTAATATAATAGCTGGACTTGACCTGCAATGTTAACTACGTTTGATATAAATCCCGAAGATATATAGATTTTTTTTATATTCTGTGTTTTAAAGCCCTTATTTTTTGATAGAGATATTTCCAATGATATTGAACATGAAGTGTATACGGAGGCATTTTCAGGAAATGTTTTTTTTTATGAAGCGGGATTATATTTGTACATTAGGTGCATTAATTACATGTATGTTCTGTATACTGTGTAGATTTTCTGAAGTTGTCAGTCATTGCACATTTTAAGTTAAAACTATGAATTACCAGCTCAGTTTCTGTAAACACCTCCCAGAGTAGCACCACAGTACATAATTGGAATTTGTATTTTCTTTAAAATAATTTCACATTTAACTTGAACTTAAATTTGGGTTTGATAAAAACATTCATCTGTATTTGAACGTATGTGGGACCCTTGATTATCAGTGTTACTTATTGAGTTGTGCATTATTTGTTTTAAACTTTTGTAATTTTCACATTCGGATTCAATAGCAAAATCATATTACTGCACAGGCTATACTTATGCAGTGGAAACACTGCATGCTTCATATATAAAGATTTATGACCAGGTACGTGTAGTTTGTATAATTGTTTAGCCCGATATATGCATGTGAAATTGCATGTAACTTGTGTTAATTAACAACACATAACCAACACTTTAATTATTCTTTCTTATTCTTTAACAAAGCAATGATTTTGTATACTTTATATCAATTACACAAACCAATTTAGTATGTTTTGCACTTTTTCAGGAGACGCTGGCCAGTAAACGTGAAAGTTTGTTGAGAGAGCATTTGGAGGAAATCACAAAAATAAACAAGCAGGTTTGCAAGTGGCGATTGGGTGCTTGGTTTCCCACACGTCCTCCCCCCCCCCAACACCCCTACCCCCAGTGACCCGCAATGTGTCAATGTCTTCCGTGCTTCATTAATTTGAGATGATCATGTAGCACCCTTGGTGCCCGCAGCCTGTAACACACGCCGCGCAGTGTTAATGACATATTGGTTGGTGTCGTCAGTGTGAAGCATGTTTTCTTTCTCTTTTTTTCATCAGTTTAAATCAAAGCTCGAGAGCCTGGAGGCAGAGAAGGTATTGTGAAAATGCATGGGTTGTATTCATGGCAATGGGGACCATACATGATAAACATGGGAAGTGTGCGCTGGGTCTGTATCCTCCCTCGCCACCATAGCATTTCATTGTCACGGAACCTGTAATGTTCTCCGTGAAGCCCCGATCATTTTAGACACACGGAAATACTCTCTTAGTACCCCTCATGAGTAATGCATTCAGAATGCGCCATTCAATCTACTGCATTTACGCAACCTATTAATGCACCCAGACGGATAAGTATTGCTCATTTGATGAGGTCCCTCTTGCTGTGTAAACGTATAGGTAAAAAAAATAGCAATCCGTAACGACTTAAAAAGAGTCGGTCGTTTAACTTGGTCCAAATGAGGCAAATTTTTGCCACCTTTTCCAATAACTTTTTACAGTGAAAGCGTATTTTCTGTTGATATAATATTTGTATTAAATCCACAGAACAAATTTCAGTTCTTGTCTGAAGCTGCAGAGAGAGAGGTCAACATCTTGAAAGATAAAATTAAGGCACAAAATGTAAGCTTATTTGAGAAATTTACACAACATTTACTTTTTATTAAAACACAGCTGTCGTTTGAATCCTAATTTATACAGAATATAAACAGAATTTTAGCTTTAAAAAAATAGACATGCATCTATTATACATCAAATTCTGTCACTAAACAAATTAAACACATTCAACTATTTTAATTGTTGCAGTTATCTGTGCATTCTTTGGGAAAGAAGCTTGCTGACCAGGTATGTTGTATTATTGTTTTAAGTACCTCAATGATTATCGTGAAAGTATAGTTAATTTAGGTAATGTATACACGAGTCAAGAAAATAATAACGTTTAATAAAATGCACATATACAAATTTTACTTTGCATCACAATAAATTGTACAATATCAAGTGAAAATAAAACAAATTGCTAAACAAAATGAAGACACTCGGAAAGCAGTCACATAAAGCACATTAAAGACACGAGTATTTAGCAATTTACTATACAAGTCACTATTTACTGTTTAATCAAGTAAGAATTATGATTCATTGTCTTCTTTCCAAAGGAGCACGAGTAATTAGTGACATAGGATCACCAATTATTTTATCTTCTAATGATGTAGCTGCAGGTACTACAACCTCTCGAAGGGAATATAATCTCATTAAACGGGAAACAAAATCTGAAAAGTGCCCACAGAAACATGGGGAAATGCACACTGGTTGAAACATAGGGACATAATTGAGAGATCATATTGACTATGAATAAAAGTAAGGAAGATTGACATGTCAGGGATGATGGCCGGTTGTCAAGACTAATGAAGGAGTCGTAGGATAGAACAAGCCAGAGGCAATCCACAGTGGATTGTAGGAGCTGCTCGGGATGATGATGATGGCTTGGGGAGGCCCTCATCCAACAGTGAATAGATAATGGATGAAGATGATGACTAACCTCTACATTGGAAAATAGACCATCGTATTGCGGAATATATTTTGTATCAGAGGAAATTGTAACATTGTATACAGCGAAAGGTCAGTGCTTACATGAATGTTTTCCGTTTTATCTCGTATTTTCAAATCCTATTTAGGATCAAAAGCTTCAACTTCAAATGCTTGGCAGAGAAAGGGTAGTCAGTCAGTTATCAGAGGTTGTTAACTTGCATTCCAGCGTCAGCAAACAGTGTGAGACCTACAGGCAAGCACAGGATATGCTGGAAAGGAATGGTGAGATTCAGCACCATTATTTTCAATACCAAGATCACATTTTACAATTATTTTCCTTTGTGTTTCTTCTCTGTAAAACTTTAGCCTTATATATACTTGTAACATGAACATATTCTGGATAATGAGACACTATTCCCCCCGGTATTTTTTAAGCGAAACTTGAAGGTGTATATTAAAATCTGGTAGGTGTGTATATGTGTGACCAATTTTAGGATACATTTGTCGACAGTGAGTAAAGTTTTGGAGTGCGTCTTACTTTCTGGAGCATCTTACTTTCCGGGGTATTACATAATCTTCAGAATATGGTATTTGTGACATTATTGTATTTGTTTGACTTGCACAGTCCAAGAGTCCTTGAAATTAAACAAAAAACTGCTGTATACCAACAAGCATCAAGGATGCATAGAGGAGGGGCTCAGGCAGGTAAGCGTATGGTTGGCTGTGAGTTTCCTGAACATCCCTGGTGCCACTTTGACTATTTACGTTCCCGTAACATAAAGTGTGATGGACAAGCTCACAAAACAACAACAACGTATGTAACATAAGTACTCCCCTTGCAATCTCTGAGGCTGCATTGTGTGGGGGTGAGCTTTACTACATGGGTAAGGGTGTAATAGGCATATCTTTGTCTTAGCCCGCAGTGACAAACACTTGCAGAGCGCTGTTCGTCAGCCCCACCTGACTGCGTCTCGTCAACTGCTCTGCTGACCTTCTGTCAGCTCCCCTGCAAAGATTTTAAATCGGTTTTTTTCCCCCCATCTCTGTCTTTCTATTTTTCGAGATTGCGTGCCCTCTCGGGGTGTTATTTTGATTCTTCTTGTGTGCCGCGAGGGATTACTAACGTTTGAACAACGGCCCATGCGCAGGGCGTGACCATGCATGAAAAGCCCCATTAATCAAATGTAATTGAAAATCGGTAAAGTGGTGGAGATTTAAGTATTCTTTATTTGATTGTCTTTGTCATGCATCAGTACAAGCATGGTATTTTTAATGCATTTTCTTTAAAACAGTTTTGAATGTAATATGTCCTATATCATTAATAACTGTCGTTGTACAATGTTTCCTTCTTTATGGTTAAGTATACGAAACAACATAAATGTGTCAACACAGTAGTATTAATATCCACTTCAAAGCCGATTGTAAGCTTTAATAAGTTCCGACAATAATTGCACCACTGTGCCTGTGTAAACCGGTTCAATGGCAAGCACACTGACAATTACGACCTGGTCACTTCCAATGTAATAGTAATCGTTGGGCTTTGAGTATGTAGCCAACACATGGTGTAAAGAACATGATGTTGTTAAATATGTCATTTTCATTGGTAAGAAAAGTAATTGGGCTAGTGCAAAACACATTTCTGATACTGGCCAGCGATCGAGACTAACACTGGAGTGGCAGCCAAATGAGGTACATCTTATGAGAGGCAATCCACCGTGGAGATGGAGTGATGACATCAGGTCGTGTACAGGTATTAGGTGGATAATTGACTCGTTAGACGGTGACAGCTTGGGTCGGCCTTCATCCAGCAGTGGATTGACCCTGGCTAATGATGATGAATCATTGGTGTCCATGTTCAGAAGCTGCAAAAGGTATCTGCGGAATTGCTGCGGGCAAAGATTGACACTCAGACTAAGATGGAGGAGAGAAAGCGGGAGGTGAATCAAAGGCACCACAAACTGGAAGAGGCACAGCTTCAGCTGCAGAAGGTTCGATACATCTCAGTTTGATCTTACTCTAAACATGTGTTATGTGTTGGGTACATTATGCTTTCTATTTTGTTCATTTATTTTGCTTTAAACCTGCATAATCCATGTGTGTTCTGATTCTGTACTGACCCAGATCTCTTCACTCTTCATCTCAATGGGCTCTCACCTGGTTTTAAATAAAGGGCTACTACTTTGTCTTTAACATATCGTCAGCAATTAGATTTTCCAATAAATTGAGTTTGAGGGATTATGAGTACCATACATTCCACGTGCAAACAGAGCAATAAATTATTTATTTAAAGTACTGTAAAATATACTTTTTCATGATCTTTATAATGTATGTGTCTGTTTTTTAAAGGAGATGGATCTAGTGAAACTTTTATCACAATCGATAACTGCATTACGACAGGAAAAACAGGTAATTAACATAATGATTTGCAATTAAATCTCAGCATTGCATTTATATTGTAAGCCAATGTCTTCACTAGATGCTGATGAGGCGCATTTCATCATGGCATGTTTACAACTCTGCTTTAATGAGTATTTTTTCCAGTTGAGAATGCCTGTCCTATGGCTATCCTGGTCATCATCACAGCAACTTGGAATTTCCACTACTGGTTCAGCACTGTTGACAAAGATGAGCGTCACCCCATGCTATTTAGAGCATGTGGACACCGGCTTGGCCACTTGACTTGGAATTGATCTAAAATTGTGTGTATTTTTTTTAAAATAGGAAACGAACAAAGCACTTGAAGAATCACAAAGACTCATTGAGCGACAAAGTGTGCATGTGAACAGAACTAAAGAAGACAATGTTTCACTTTTACAAGAAAACCAGGTAGCAAATGACTTGTAAACACATCAAACGCTATTCCTTACTAATATACTCATTTGCTTAATTTAATTTCAGTGCAATAAACATAATATCTGTAGATTAATTAATCACATTATTTTTCAGTAAAATATTGTTATTAAAAGTGCTGTATATTTTTTTCCGGAAAGCCACAAGTGAGTCAAAATATTGTATCAGGTCCTGTATTGGGATGTTTGGCCAGTTTGCTTTTAGAGGAGTGTTTTAAATCTATTAGGTGACTCTGAGGTGAGGTGACTAGGAGCTGACAGTGAAACCTGTCAATGGACATTTTGGTATTATACCTTGCATTATTGGGATATCTCTAGCTACACTGTATTTCTCCACAAACATGACACTCATTAAACGTAATTGGGTAAATATTCCAATGCAAAACCCTCCTGAAAACAAACCTCGACATTTGAGGATTTCCTTGATTAAATAAATTGTTAATACCATTAAATGACTGCTCAATAAGTATTTTATTGAATGTTGTCAGGCTTTAAAGGATGACAACGAAAAACTAAACGGACGCATGATGGAGAAAGATGAAAATTGCAAGAGTATAAAAGGACGCTTTGAAAACACAACAATGACCCTTGAAGAAGAGGTAACTGCCTGTAATCCATATGGCATATATCGGCTCAAACGCATCGATGTGTTTAACCAGTTTAGCGCATGGCGAGCAGATACCGTGTAGGTATACCTTGAGACGTGTTGGGTGCTTGGGAAGTGGCACATTGGTTAGTGTGCCGTGCTTTTTTTTTTTAACCAAGTAAGGTCCACTGAGCTATATAGCTCTTTTACCAGAAGCAACCTGGCCCCAAATCATAACTCAACGAAGTAACTTATGTGGAAATTTATCGTAGCCAAATACTCTTAAACGCATGTTTGTAAATGTGGAGGGAAAAACCAGAGGACCCGGAGAAAAATCCACATGACCAAGGAAAGAACTTGCAAACTCCAAATATACAGGTGTCAGGGTTTGGATAAAACCCACGACCTCCTGCAGACCAGGCGAGGGAGTTAACATCTGTGCACCGCGGCGCCCTATGAACCCACCAGCCATGGAATCTGAAGCGGTTCTTTGTACCCCCTTCACCAACCTGCACTGACTAGCGTCGTTAAGTATGGTCAAACAATCCCTCTGGCAAACAGGTATAGGGGAGACCTTTATTACTGGATCGAGAAAGGGGGCTATATATTAAGAGACGAGTTGACTGGAACTTCACATATGACTTAAGCTTGCGTCATTGTTTACAGAATAGGAAACAGCAACTCAAGCTTGAGTCATTGCAATTAAAGTATGACATTCTGCAACGCAGCTTTCAGGAAATAGAGGAGAGTAACTGTAAGTTCAAATCGCGAGTAAGAGAGCAGGAACGAAAGATTCAAGGCCTCCAGGTACGTCCCTTTATCATTCACATTTTATTGGAATTGGGAAAGTAATTTTTATATTTCTGGATGAGTTGGACTGGTGTTGCTCAATCCGTGATCCAGATCTCACGATGCAGGTTTGGATGGAATGTGTAATTGAATCGCATCACTTTTGGCTGTACTGTGAAATGAGAGCTGTATTTTTCGGTTACCTGTTATGACTGCACCTGTAATATGAGGAATTTGTAAAGTTAGACTGGTTGGTGACCCCTGCTATCCCACAGCAGTCAGTTCAAACAGTTGCAGATGTATTAGTGTAACCAGATATAACTTTTCCATCTTTGCACACACATTTTCAATACTGCAGTAAGTAAATGAGCCCGTGGAGGCATGTCCTTTTAAAGATATCCGCGAGCATTTATAAAGCGCTAATGTTAATTATCCACAAATCCTGTGAAAAGTTTAGTATGAGTGGTCCTACGTTTTTATTTTAAATCCTGTGATTTATTTTGCAGCATTCATTTAGCTACCAAGGAGATGAAAAAAATATGAGAATTGACAGTTTGGAGAGCAGTCTTGCAGAAAGAGAGTTGGAGATACATGCATTCTGCAAAACAAACAAAGAATACTCATCAAAGGGAACGCAGTCTGAAAACCAAACCCTGTGCACTGTTAGTGACACAATTAAAATTATTGACGATGAGGTTTTGAAAAACACTGACATTTTAATTGAAGAGCAGAAAGAATCGGAGCCACGTGTAAATGACGTTTCCTGCGCAGACGCTTGCGTTACAAGCGACAATCCATCAGACGCAAGTCCTGTGCTGTGTGCAAGTCCTCAGTTTTCGGATGCTCAGGAAGAGAAAACAAAAACGCAAAGCCATGTAATTAAAGATTGCATTGCAATAACAAACATGGGAACAGAAAGACATTTGAATCTGCTCGCTCCTGAAAAACAAGTCATGGCAGACATCGGTGAGGTCACGAAAGAGGCAGAGTTACTAAATTTACTGTTGCAAAATACAACAGTAATTAATAGTTCCGAGAATTTATGTCAGCAAAATGTTTCAAACGTACAAACTAATCCCACTGTTAACAAACATAGTGTCGCAATGCCAGAATCTAAAGAAAAAAGAGCTTTATCGTTGGAAGAACAGCACGAAGACGATGTTATCGTTTCTCATGAGATAAGTGAGCAGGGAATATTAGGTGAAAAAAACAAAGCAGATCGAACCGCTAGCATTGATATCCAGCTAATTTCAGCAGGAGCCAGCTCTAAGCTTGCAACTGTTGGGATTGCTGGCAATGTAAACGAGAGCTCCACGGTACCCCATAGGGCCCCAGACTGTGTTTCTGATGCACTTCCTTTTTTAACGAAATCGTCCAATGAGGGGATAGAGAGCTTTACGTCAGTTTCTGAAGCGATCGGCAACCAACTTGTAACCGGTCACGAAGAAAGTTCTACCAGTGTCGAGTCAGGAGCAGCCTCTGTCAATTTACCAATTGTTCACCTAGCCAACATAGCTACTGAAATAGCTACCACTTATAAGGAAATGTGCATTGCTCTACCAGATGCTGATTCTAGTGCCAGTGGTGTGGAAATATGTGAGCAAGTAAGAAGCATGAGCACTGAAGTACAGCTGGCCGTTGAAAGTGACATCGTAGCTTGTGAAGAAAATACTGTTACTGATGCTTCTTCAATAGCAGAAAAACACATTGATTCGCATGCTTTTGGTGATAGAGAGATCAAGGGTCTATCACCTAAAATTAAATTAGCAAGTACAGTTGATGAAATTGTGCATCAGCCATCACAGTCATTGGAGATGGTCACACCTATGCCACTTGAACACGTTGCTGTGGACAGTACAGGGACTAATCCTGAGACTAAAGGCTGTGCTCCAACAGAACTGCCAGATCAGTCACCAATTGCACTTGAGTGTTCCCATATAGGTGAGAAGTATGACGAGGCAGATGGAAAAATCTCCATGCTGGGACAATCCATTACAGATGACAAACACAATGTCTGTTCACCAACTGATGCCCCAAAAGTTGTGACCACTTTATCTTTACGTGAATTTCTAAATGTTTTCTCACATAAACCAACGAGTAGCAGTAACACGGAAAGTAACAACTTGCTAGAAAAGTGCATTGCAAAGGATCCAGCCACAGAAACTGCCAGCGTCTCCTCCTTGACATCGTTCCGTGCTACAAATCCTGGTTATTACAGTATGTATAAGCAAATTTTTTCAAGGAGAGAGGACATCAAAACGCCCACTTCCCACACTCAAAGCTGCTCACCATATCTCACATCGACCTCGAATGCGACACAGCGGGACGCGTGTGTTGGGGACAGAAAATATTGGGGGCGTTGCGGTGAGCTGTCTAGCGCAGCCCCACAGATCGCACAGCACAAGAACACCGCTGCAGGCACCTGTAGTGCTGCTGCTCACGATACGCTTACGTCTCCTGCGGACGGTGTCACACATCAAAGTACGAAAAGTATCTTACACAATGACCTTTGGGCAAGATCCTCTTCATCAAGCGCTGCTGTGAAACACCAGTTTAATTCTGGTGGGTCGAGTGCAACATTCATACATATTAATTACTGTTTAGACTTTGCTGCATTGTGGCTAAAGGACATTTCTCCCTGCTTAGTGTGGAGGTTTTCTTTTTAGCCTGCATATTTTTTGTAATTTGTAAATCATCTAGACGGCAGTTATATCTCAAATACGTTGTACAAGTAAGGGAACGTTTGATTTCCAGGGCATGTTTATCAGGAATGGCATTAAAGGTTTTTTTTTTTTTTACACGGAGTGAAATATTAAAGGAAATACTGTTTCCATTGAATAAACGTGGTAATATTCCAATTGACCACATTTGAAACATGCAATTTATAACATGGATTTATATATATATATATCGCTCGTTCACGCCAGTGTTTAATTCATTAAAAAAATTCCATGCTACATATTTTACAGAAAGGTATCCCATTTAGCATATGTGCTCATGGCAGTTATTTTTTTATGAAGTTGATATATGTCCACGTGACATTGAGATATTTTCGAGGGTGTACTATGGATAAAGACTCTGTGCTAATGGGTGATTTATCCTGGACATTAATAGCTCCGTGCAGGGTGTCTCCATCCACGTAGTGATGCCTGCTTTTTGTCCCCCAACAATTGCCCTCATAGTTTCCCAGTTTTCTGTGCGCCCACCGCAGGTCTTCCTGGAAACCGGCCGCAGGGAATTTTCCCGGGCGACGTGATCAGCGGAGCCAAGCGGAAGAGAGATTACAGCGGGGAATGGAATGCGATTGCAGAGGCCTTTGACGTGGAGCAGCCTTCGTCCAAGCGCGTACGCTAACCACCCCGTACCACGCCGAGACCGCTCAGCATGAGCTCACGCCCCGAGCATGTCCAGCAAGCGCTTGTCTGTGTGCCAGCAGGCATTGGCTGCAGTACTGTGGATGACGACCCTTCCTTTGAAATTCACCTTCACGGTTTTCTTTTATTTCTGAATTATGTTTGTTGCCGTCATGGCTAGTGTGTTATTTAAAGGATTGATGTCGTTTCCAACCTTGATTGATCGGTCACTGAAAAACGTGGCACTCTTTAATGAAAGAATGGATTTTTGGTATTCCTTTTCCACCATACCCCTGATTGAACATTGCTTATTGTGGTGTAGTTATATAAATAATCGTGCTTTTTCATAATTCGTTTATAAAAAATATATATAAAATGTTAAGTTACATTAATTTGTAGTTGGCTGTTATTTCAAAGGTTACATTTTTTTAAACAAGTTTGTCTCAATTTGTTCAAAGACCTTTTTTTTACAAATGGTAAATCCCTGTATCACATATCCTGAAAAAAAACTGTTCGCTGTTTTTAGTGTAGGATAGTGTTTCTGGACAACTGGTTATTTATCCTGTTATCATGTACTTTCAAAACAGAGTCCATATGATTATAAGGCACAATCTATTTTGGTCTCTTATAGGAATCCGTTGGGAAGAAATTAAACGCCTCTGCGTTGCACGAAACTGCTCCCATGTGTGTGCTTCCTGGCCCCAGTGTGAGACTGGAGGCCAAACACAATGTCACCGACGTGGAACTGGTGGCTTTTTCTGATGACGAAGAAGACAACTGCGCTATAGGAAATAAGATCACAGACATACAAAAATTCTTAAATGTGGACGTACTAAAACTAACAAAGAAATGACAAATATTCTGAAGCTCAAATATACAAGTAAAACCAAGTTGCACTGCATGTCCTTTACACATCAAAGTTTTAAAAAAAGTATCGTAATCTTCCCAGCATTGCGCTGGCATAGCATCTGAATCAAAAGTGGTAATGGTCGTTAGAGGTGTTTCAAATATTTGAAATGTTTATTGCTGTTAAATGTTATTGCTGTTAAATGTTAAGGTCTTAACTACAGTGTTTAATACTATCGTTTTATTATAGTAATACAATAAAAAACTTCGCAAATTGGTTATGTTTTATGTTCTACAAATGCTTTTTGACATGTTTAGGTTATGTAATCTATGTAGTGCTTCATTCGTCGTTTTAAACCACTACCAATTGGGCATGCTTGCTATCTTAGTCACTGGTTAAACAAACAACTATTTGACGTGATGTTTCAAAAGCTTTTTAGACTTTTTTGCAATAGTCCACCTTAATGGAATGTTAATGTTTTGGATAAATATTTTAAATAAATTTCCTAACACAAATAGGGTGTCAAATAAAATAATGACACATCGGAGCAGTGCTCATAGAAGTGTAGTAATAGTGTCTTAGCGGAACTGGTAATGTAAGTGGGATGAATCCCTTGTGCTCACGACTAGTCATATGATTGATCACCTTGTAATTGCATGATTTGTTAGAATATTTATTTGCAATTCGATCCAAGAATATATTTTTTTCTCTACTATTGTGTATGTATACATCTCTAATGTCTGCAGGGTTTATGTGAAGCAATTGCAACAAATGAGAATTTAAAATACAATTTGCATAGGTTATAACTTATTACATTCGATGCGTGTATAAAGAGTGTCAGAATCATCATTTCGTCAGGAATTGATGCATCTCTACATGCTTCTTTAAACGTTGTTTAATGAGCTTCAAATCCTCTGCTGAAGTTGCAGTGCAATGATGGCTTTTCAAATTCTGTCAAAACACTGCAGTATATTAATCCGTGTCACAATGTAAATGGGTGCCCTGCACACCACGTTCCAGGCACTCTTTTACTGATGTACAAGACTATATCTTCCACACTGGCTGCATGCTTTGGAGTAGGTCATGTTACTTTAATAAAATGTCATTTACTTCAGTATGTTATCTTAATCCATACACGCCTCTGTATCTCTCACTGAAATTCCACGCATGAATCTCTCTCTGCTTTGTAAAATTTTCTGTTTTCGCTGATTTTTGTGTGTGTTAATGACCATGTTTCCGAAGCATATGTCGGAGCAAGTTGTGCGCACGATTACAAACCTACTGATTGTCAGGTACTTCAAAATAATTATGGCTGAATTATTTTCAAATCTAAATATTTTCTTTTTTACAAATTTCAGTCTTTAGTGTGTTGCCCTTCCCCCGCACCTCCAATTAACACGGCCAACGTACGGTGTGAAACTGTGGAGGCCGACGTCCACCTCCCTGCGAGCGGGCGGGGCGCGACGTCCACCCCCTCCACTCCCCCCCCCCTCCTCCTCGTCGGCCGCCTCTCGCCGGGCCCCCGCCGATCGAGTGATCGCCCCCCCCCCCCCGCGCCAGCGCCCTCTCTCAGAGACATGGCTAAGTGGCTGGCTCACCACCGCCCGGGGTTATCTCCCGCGCGCTCATCACACCACCACACAAACGAACGCGCACGCCCCTGCAGGCGCGTATTTCCATCACAGGCTGGCCGCTGAACAAAAGCAACGGCGGCGGTATGAATATGCACGCGCCCCTCCGAGTGGTTAAGCCCTAATCCGCGTGCACGCAATGCTAACGGAAAAGGAACGGCGGCGGTAGGAATATGGGTGCACGCCTCTATTTTTACTGTGTAAACACGCTGTGTAAACGCGCGCGAGCAGGTGTAATCGCACCCTGCCCCACGCACGCGGCGCTGCAGGCGCGCGTTTTCCCACACACACGCGCGTAAACACGCGCCGCAACCAACGGCGGCCGTATATGTTGTAATACATGCCTCGCCTCGCCACACACACGCTCAAATCACCAACCCCGCTCGCTCTCTCACGCACCCCGATCCCCCCGCGCAGACGCACCACATACAAATCGCAGACACCACGCCGAGGTTCTACCCACACACAGAAATCACACTACACCGATATTCTGAACTAAAGTTTATTAATGGCGTCAATACACTACCTGGAGGAGTATTTTGCGAGGAGAGCCTGGCGTAACTATGCCCTATGAACCCAGCTACTCGAACGTCCTACCACGTACTTTGAAACTGGACTCGCGGCGTCTCACGGACACTGAAAGAGTCGGAGGGAGAAGGACGAGAGAAGCCTTGCCCAATCACTGTCTCGCAGCAGCAGCACTCGCTGGCATCACACGGATGCTGTGAGCGGCTTGAAGAGGCAGGACGGCAGGCAGAGAGTGGGTCGTGATGGCCCGGAGGTTGTAGACAACTAAACTCATCGTCCCGGGGCTCCCAACTTTATTCTCTCGTGCCCCGTAGTTCGAGTCTTCGGGTCTGCTCTTTATGCCTCCCACCCATTCTCCCGTTCCCAGTAGTTCGAGCCTTCGGTTCTGCTCTTTATGCCTAATATTCCACCCTCCATCTCCCCCCCCCCCCCAATGTTTTGAGTAACTCATTGCGGTTGGCTCGGGGAACCTTTTCTTTTTGCGCCCATACAATTTTAAGCCAATTTTAGGGGCACCGCAATGTAACCCGTCCGGTGGGGGTCGGCCACTCTCCTGGCACTGGGAAACCGTGGGACTCTCCCCCTAGGGGCCCTTCGGATTAAAACCCGAGGTGCCAGGCAACCCCCCGCCAGGACACTACGTGGGTGTGCTGCGTGCGGGCGTGTGTTCAGTGCGGGGGCCGGGAGGGGATCGCGGCGTTTGCGGAGTTTCTCCGCAGTCCTGGCACCACCAAAGCAGTTCAACATCCTGTCAATACAAACATCACTGTTAATCGATTGCACGTATACATGTGGATATAATTCCTTTGTGAGAGATAACGTGTGTGGTCGTGCGCATACGCTTGAGAATGCATTAACATTCAAATTCAAACAATGTTTGGGAATGTTTCCATGGACCATATTTTTTGTTGCCGTTTAAAACAGATAGCTGTGTTTGAATACACGGGGGGTCAGTTATCCACATGCAATTTAAAAAAAATACGTTCGTAGCTAATAACTTATCGGCGCTCTGTTGCTTCAGTCGTGCATTGCACTGCCCGGGTTGCAGTAATTATTTTCTTTCCAGTATTCACTTTTAATTGATTCCATATCCTTGCATTTCAGATCCAGTGTTTGCATCCACCAGTACTCGCTGCTGTCACGTGGACTGTGCCATGACGAAACAAGGCGAGTGATAAAATCAACCAACCATTGTATATTCATTTTCTCTTCCACAACATACTCCCTCGTACTTATTTCAAGACATTAACACTCATGCTCTTCCACACAACACATCAGCCATCTCCAATGGCCAAAAGTGGCAGCAACAAGAACCTGGTTCAGATCAAAGACTGCTGGAACAAGTGCTGTTAGCGAGCGCCCATTGAGGCCAGTGCAGTGCCCAAGGGGGCTGGTGTGGCTATCATCCACACCACACCCTGCAGAATCTGCCTCCCCAGTGTATTCATACTGTACCAATACAGCACACATTTAAACTTGCATCAACCGAATGGAGGCAATGGGGACCGGTTCAGATATCACTTGCCAATGACTGTTGGCCATAGTCGGTAATCGAACTCAGATCACGCCGTCAAAAAGAACGGTGCACTAAGCACTGTGACAATACCATAACGTACACACATGTGCTGAGTGTGACTGTAAATCTATAATTCAATGGTCTGATGTAGCATTTCCAAGTGTCTTGTGCCAGAAGAATATTATTTAATTACAGTAATGCTGATGCTTTGCCACAAAACAAAAAGTGGCATTCATAACTTGAAAGAACCTGGTTTCAATCATTTTACCGTACTCAGCTTTTGAGTGCAGCTTAACCTGTACACTATTTTTGTGATTCTGCGTTGGCAGTGGTGCATAAGCACAAATGAAGACAACTCAAAACATGAATCAATAACGCTGCCTTAAAGAGGAAAAGCGATTATAATAGGTGACGTTTTGGACAATGGCCCTTCATTACATTCCGTCTTCAGCAACCTTTTCCTAATCGCTCTTTTTCATTGGAGAGAGATGCCGCGATGAACGAGAGCCATTATGCAAAACGTCACCTGTAATATCGATTTTACTCATCAGAGCCAGTGGTATTGTACACTACACTGTGGGTACAAAGTCCCGATGCCCCTTTACCTTTGACAGTCATAAAAGATTTCAAGACGGGTATAGGAACTTCTCGTACACCCTGTATAAGAGACATCGGCACCACTGACATTTTTTATAGAGGACTTCAACTTCACGCGACCAGGTGTGATATAAAACATCCACCTTTCCTAACAACAATTGTTGAAAATATAAATCAATAAACTCCATCACTTGATAACTGTTATTTATCAGTGTTAGAAAGTGTCCCATGTTGTTTCTTTAGGAACTTGTAATTATTTCAGTAAATCAGTGTTTGTATTGGCCCGGGTTCTACTCTTGCTTTGTAAAGGGCTGTCCATGCCACTGTTGGCTTGCGATGATGTTATTATGGGGCTGCCCGCGAGCACTCTCAAAGCTCTGTCGGCGCGTGCAATTTACTCTTCCTGTGGGAGTGCGAGCAACTACAGAGCGAATGATAGACACAGGCGCAGGGTTCAATGTGACCTCTAAACATTGGCCCAACGGCCAGCGAAGGCAGAGAAAAATGAAAGAGGCAGCCAGAGGTGAAAATTCCTCGTGCACATCTCCCAATAGACTCATCTCTCTGGTTTTAATTAAGAGCATATTGCCCTGGCAGAATTCTAACTACTTTTTTTTATTTGAGACAGTGCAGTGAATCTTCTGTCTTGCTGGCATCAGCTGCAAAAAAAATCATCGCAGCCCTGACAAACTGGGGCTGATCGGAATCTGTGAAAGCACTTGCGCTTAGAGATGAATGTTACAGTTTTGGGTAATTTCTAATTCAAAACAACAACTTAAATAGCTCCCCCATGTGTTTTCAGGTTGTACTGTGTTTATTGTTGCATAATGTCTGACGGTTTGTTCCACATGCTGAAGAAGCTCACAGCACATGGGGTGAAACATCGGACAATGTTGAACAACACGTGGTACATGTACAAGCCAAAAACACATCGACGAAGAGCTGCTGTACAGCTGCAAACGCATATGTAGAATAATCACACTTAATGCATCCACTCAACATACAAAAATTTCAAACTTTTACAAATGCAAAAGTTCCAGATTTTGTCAAGCCACAAGGTTGTGTCAGGTTATTCAACGCTGCCCGCATGTTGACCCTATTTGCGTGGGGATGGAGTACTGTATGTATGCATATTAAACTTCTTTCTCACCGTACGTAGCCAACCGTGTTCATCGGAGAACAAGTAGTTCTCCGTAAACGCCTCGTCCAGTGGCATAGTAACTAACTACATCGTCCGCTCAGGGGGTGCGGCAATCGCCTACGGGCTCAAACATTTAACGCTGTAGGTGGCGCATCGGCTTTGCGAAATATGGCCACTACTAAATAAAAGCATTTTAATAAAAAAATTCAAACCGCGTTATAAAATTAGTGTTTTATTTTTATTTTACACTGTTGAAAACATATCTCATGGTGATTGTCAAGGGGGGCCCAATTCGTCGCTTTGGCCACCGGGTGGTGGTGGAGGGGTGGCAAGGGACCCCCTTGCCCCCACCGCTAGTCACGCCACTGGCCTCGTCCCGTACACGGCTCTCACACACAGCTCCGTCGTATACTGCTTCCTCACCCCATGCACGCCTCGCCCCGTACACGCGCACAAGAGATACCTACACGAGCCTCCCCACCACCGGACCCGCAGCCACGCAGCAGCGCGTCAACCCAAGCCAGGCTGGTGCCATTACATCAGCCGGCAAAAAATAACAAGGCAATGACAGAGCCAGCGGAATTACCTAAGGAGCACTTCCCTTAATAAATGGGTTTTGAAGGTCTTAAAAAGCTTTTTTATTACATGTAGTGAACGTTTGTTCTTCCTTTGGTCGTATATTACCGGCACTTTGTTTTGAGTGTGTAGCAGCACCAATAAGCAAAAGGGGGCTTTGAAGTGCAATAAGTTGTATTTACCACTTGTGTAGAGAAATTAATGTTAAGTTAAACCGAGACGGCATTGACCGTTAAGTGAATGCATTTGTTCGCGTACGTATTTTTTGTCTGATGCTTGAGTATACAGCAAGGGCTGCTCACAAATAAAAACAGATCTGATCTTGCCCAGGCCACGTAAATTATCATC